TATTTATAATATTATATTACGAACATTATATACTTTTATTATTAAAATTAATTTTGTAATAAAACGAATTTGAACAAAAATAAATAAATATAAAGAATGAAAAAAATAAATAAAAAAATTAAATTAAAAAAAAAAAAAGTTCAATAGCGGTTTCTCTGTGACAAGACCTTTTTTGATATATTATTAAGAGTCATTTAGATAATACACATAAACGAGTCAGTTCGATATATATGTAATTTAATTTATAGTCTTAGAAAAATTCAGAGTATCTGTTTAGATTCAGTTTTTAACTTTATTTTCAAGGAATTTTGATTATCTGGATTGCAAATTGATTTATTTTTAGTTACTAGTTTGTTGTATAAATAAGGACCCCGATATGAAATTAAGAACTGGGAAACTTTTGTTTTTTTGAAAAGTGTTATAAAGTTTCTTGTTTCTCTTGTGCTATATTTATTAAAGTATTCATTAAAAAGTTATTTAAAAAATGTTTTGGTACTTAACCTAATTTAAATTTTAGCGTAAACAATATATTTTGGTAAATGTTAATTTAATAAATGTTAAGCACATTCATTTCTTTAAATAAGGGTTCAGCGTGTGTAAATTTGTCTTTATGATAGATTAATCTTATAGCATGTTTCTGACGTCGATATAAAGTTTTCAATTTGGTTATATGCGTACTCGCCCAAGCTATATTCGCATATATGAGGTAGCTATGTATAAAAGAGAAATATATAAGTTTTAAATTACTTTGCGACAGCATAGGTTTTGCTTTATAAAGTAGATATAATGTTTTTTGATATTTTAGTTTTGAAAGCTTTTATGTGAGCTTTCCAAGATAAGTTTTCACCAATTATAACTCCTAAAAATTTAGTTTCGTGAGTTCTCTCAATTACTATATTTTGCAATTTTAGAGAGGGTAGAATACTTGGTAGTGTGTTTCTTTGTTGGTTTGAATGAAATAAAGTGTATGTTGTTTTTTCTATGTTTAGGGATAACTTATTTGTTTTAAACCATATATTTAGTTTTTGGAGTTCTATGTTTACATTATCATACAGATCCTTGATGTTTGTCAAAGAGTAAAATCGTCTGCAAACATTATATAATAAAAACAAGAGTTTCCCAGTTCTCAATTTCATATCAGGGTCCTTATTTATACAACAAACTAGTAACTAAAATAAATCAATTTGCAATCCAGATAATCAAAATTCCTTGAAAACAAAGTTAAAAAATCTGATACTGCATTTAAACAGATACTCTGAATTCTTCTAAGACTATAAATTAAATGACATATATATCAACTACAAAGTGAACTGACTCGTTTATGTGTATTATCTAAATGACTCTTACCTTTCTCAAACAATATACCAAAAAATTGTTTATTACACGCACAAAAAAACACTTGATTTTTTTCTTATCAATATTAGTTATTATGTAGCTTCCCAGCTGGCATTTTGACGTCCTAAGGACGTTCATAAGATGTCTTATTCTCGTCCGTAAGACGTCCTTAGTTGGTCTCAAATGAAAGGCTTGAGGACGTCTATTCCAGATGTCCCAAAGACGTTTTTTTAAGATTTTAACGTTCTAGAGACTTTTTCTAAAAATAGCCTAGAGACGTGTTTTTAGTCGTCCTATGGACGTCTCTGGCTGGTCTCTCATGTGAAAGACTCAAGAACGACTTATTCAGACGTCCTAGAGACGTCCTAATTTTACCTAAATGTATATCATTGCATTTTTATATAACTTTTAACCTTTTTAAAAGTTATACAACAATGCAATGATATACAATACACACCTTAGATTTGATTTGATTTAGGCATAAATAAATATAAAGAGGAATCAAGTAAATAAAGTGTAACTTGATATATTTAAAATAAATTATTAATTTTACAAAAATTTGGAAAAATTTTTCAAATAAAGTTATACTTTCCAAATTAAAAAATAATATATTCAGTTGAGTATATTAAAAAGTATATTATAAATAAAAGAAAATTACTGAAAAATGCAAAATAAATAAAAAATACAACAGTTGATTATAGTTGATTAAGTCATCATTGATCGATATCGATACTAGTGGATGTTCTCTTTAATCGGTCAGAAGAATTCCAAATTACTCTCCCAATAAGTTGCATGACATCCATTTTAGTTAAGCTTTTATTTGACTTTGAAGCAGCATCTAATAAAAACAACAAGACATAGTTCAATAAGATCATAAAATAAAATATACTTGTTCCATAGCCAAAAATTTTTTTTTTTTTTTAAAATTAAAACTGTTTTTAATTTTAAAAATTATTCAAACACTATAATAAGCTAATGAGAATACCAGTGAAAGCGTTATTAGGGCCCTGCGAAGCTTCGAAATTTCGAATCAAATCGAATCAAAAATATGATTCAAGATACGATTCAAAAATTTTTAAAAATCGAATCCTTACTTATTTTGTTTTTGTTGTGGGTATTTTAGATATTCTGCGCTTTGGCGCTATTAAAATAACGTTACTTATCCTTAAATACCTTTTTAATTAGTCATTAAAAAGGTTAACCAGATCAATTAACCAGGTCAAGAAGCATCAATAAAGAGATTATACATTTGCTTTATTTTATTTTATTTTGAAAAATATACCATTAAATAAAAAATGCTTAAATTTATACGAATCGCGAATCAAGACCTGGTTTGATTCGAGATTTGATTCGAAACAAAAACTTTCTCTTCTTCTTTAGACCATTCATGCTGTATTCTGACAAAATAGTGTTTATTGTCAGTCTACATATACAAAAAAGATGATAAATGTCATACTTTCAAAAATAATTGTGAAAATTCAAACTTATGCTAATTACTTACCTGATAAAAATATTCTTAATTGTATCAACTGGATTTTTACCGCCAATTAATGAGAACTGTTTTAAATAAAAAGAAACAATGCGAAAGAAACATTGGAAATGTTTATGATAATTTAAAAAAATATATATAGTAATATATAACAGATAAACTATAAAGATTAAATTCATGCATACAAAAGTGATGAATTGCATATCTCTATTTGCAATTTTTCTTTTCAAAACATAAAGTTCATCTTAACTTTAATGTTGTTTATAACTTTCTTCTGGATCATTAGAGAAATGTGCAGTTCAATCTATCACATTTTTTTTATTTCAGCAAGTTAAAACATAACTTTTCTCTGAAACTCTAAAAAGTAAAATATGTAAGTGAAGCCATTTAAAGCATTGTACTTTCTATATATGGTTGGAAAGAGGTTGACTTAAACTAAATAATGCAAAATATCTTAAGTTTCATGCGTAACCTTAAAAAAAGATATAAACAAGTAAAGTTCAAGAAAATTATAAGTTTTTTGTCTCACATAAATAACTGTAAAGAATCGCTACCTATTACAACGTAGAGTTTAAAGAAAGTATATATGAATATGTATAATTCATATATATATATATATATATATATATATATATATATATATATATATATATATATATATATATATATATATATATATATATATATATATATATATATATATATATATATATATACATATATATATATATATATATATGTATATATGTATATATATATATATATATATATATATATATATATATATATATATATATATATATATATATATATATATATATATATTATCATAGAGATCCTCGTCTGCAAACATTAAAAATTCGAGTTTGCGAGAAACTTTTGGAAGGTCGTTTATATAGATTAGGAACAAAAGAGGAGCAAGACACGAACCTTGGGGAACACCGCAAGTTAATTTTAATAATTTAGTGTGATAATTATCATCTGTAATAACACAATTTTGTCTGTTATACAGGTAACTTATACCACTGCAGCGTATGGTTTTTTAATCCGTATTTTTATAACTTTTTATTAACCATAAACCACTGCAGTGTATGGTTTTTTAATCCGTATTTTTATAACTTTTTTAGTAGGATTTCATGAGCTATTGTGTCGAATGCTTTTGACAAATCTACAAAAAGTCTTAATACGAACTTCTTTTTACAGATTGATTTACTAATCCTATTGATGAGGTCTACGATAGCATGCTCTGTCGAGTGCTGAGTTTAAAAATCATATCGGTTTTCATTCAGGATTTTGTTTGTGGTTAGGTATTTATATAAACGATTGTAGATTATTCGTTCGAGTTTTGAAAATACGGGAAAGATTGATATTGGTCTGTAATTATTTAAGGAGGATGTTTCTCAAGATTTATAGATAGGAATAATTTTAGCTATTTTTAAATTGTCGGGTACAATTCATATAATTATTGAAGAATTAAGTATTTGAAAAATGGGTTTACTTATTTCTGAGAAGACATTCCAAATTGTATTGGCTGGGATATTGTCGATACCTGGACCTGCAGTTTCAAGTTCTTCGTCAACTAGTTCTTTAAAAACTAGGGAGCAACGAGAGTCTTCGATGTTTTCTCAAATGAATTGTTTGTAGGTTGAATTTTCGAGAGGCGAGTTTAGAACCTATACTTGCAAAGTATTTGTTAAATTTTTCAGAGATAATTTTTTTATCATTAAACTCTTTTTTACTTATGAGAACTTTTGGAGGTAGTTGGTTCGAGTTTATTTTGTTTTTACCAATTATTTCTTTCATAATATCCCTGATTTTTTTATTATCTCTTTTAAATTTTTGGATTCCCAGGAAAAAAAGTTCTATAGAATTTTATATAAACTTTTGAAACATGTGGCCTATAGAAATTCTATAGAATTCTATGGAGTTTCTATAGAGTTTATGTTAACTTCTATAAAAATTCCTATTGAAATTTTTTCTCTACTTTTTTTTAATAGTAAAAAATTTTTTATAGCAATTACATCCGAGGTTACATGAATTTAACCTCGGACGCACAAAGTTTGTGCGTCCGAGGTTACATTCATGATATATTTTTGACCAATTTACTACCGCTAGTGAGACATAGTTTTTGAGTCAAAAATTTATTTATGCTTCTTTTGATGATTTTTATTTTCAGGTCATTGACACGTTTTGCTTGCTGTGATAGTGAGAAGTAAATTGGGAAGTGGTCAGATATATCCGTTTAATTATTCCTACTCTTAAGGATGAATCTTGAATTGAATTTGTTAATATATTTTCAATAGCTGTAATTGAGGTGGGAGTTACCCGGGTGGATTTGTTTATAATTGGAAAAGTGTAATGTTGTATCATATCATCGAAAAAAGTTTTGGTATTTGCGTGTTCCTGATAGCTTAGGTAAATTATGTTTATGTTCAATACTAAATAGCTTTTTATGTTCAAAATGGCTTTTTATATATATTTGTTTCATAAAATTTGAAAATTCTAATTTTTGTGTTCAATTCATTATGGATGTAGGTTATTATTCCACCTCCTCTTTTGTTAACTTTTCTTTCATAAGAAATAAGATTATAATTAGGGATTAGGAGGTTTTGTATAATAATATTCGTCAGAACACCATGTTTCTGTAAGAAAAATCATACTAAAGAAATATTTGCATTCGATAAGGAAAATTTAATGTGTATTACCGTAAAGCCTGTATTGTTATGAAGTTCAGCTTTAAAAGTTTTAGTATCAAAGTATGAAGAGTCAGGTCAAAAAGCAACTTATCAAAATCTTTTGTTAGAAATTCGATAAAAAAATAAATTAATTTTTTTTTTAAATAGAATTCGATTTGCGTAAAATTATTTTTGAAAGCGCGTATTTTTAAAATCTCGACCAAAAATTTTATCATACTTTTAAATGTCGTATTTACCTTCACAACGTAATTTTTTCACTTCTTCCCGAAGCTTCCTTCGATGTTTAATAGTTTCTTGGGCAAAATCTTCGTTTATCTAAATGTCAGTTTCTTTAAGATGTTTGAGTATTTTGTTTTTTCGTCGAAGTTTTAAAACTATTGTTCTTGGTTTATTATCTTTCTTTTGACCGATGCGATGTGCTCTTTCTATTACGACTTTATTTGATATTTTAATTGACTATTAAAGAATTTTTTTACCTCTTTTTCACAATCGTCCTAGCTTTCTCCTGGAGACTCTTTTATTCCATCTATTCTTAAATTATTTCTTCTGGAACGATTTTCCAAGTCTATTGATTTTTTATATAATGTATTTATTTGATTGTCATAATATTTTTTTAAGTGTGATATGTTATGTTTTTTGTTATGATTTTGAGGTTTGCACTCATTATTAAAGATTTTTCTTGCTCTTTAAGTAGTCGTTCAATTTCTTTAAGAATACTTTTTTTGCGTTCGTTTATGATTTTTTTGATGTTTTTTATTGTAATATCCATTTTTATGTAAATTTTATTTGTTATTATTTATTATAAGGTAAACTTATTTGTTTACGCTTGTTTTGATTGAATACCATTTTTAGCTTTCCTAATATAATAAAAAATTCCTCCGATAGCAGTTTTAATAGTAGGGTATAGCAGGGTTAGATTTTGGCGTTAACAGTCTTCCGATAACTAAATTTAACCCTGCCGTTAACCAAACAAAGATTTTAGAATCGAGTTTATTTCATCGCTGGTGTTAAAAAAACTTTTGACCAGCCGATAGCTTATCGCAGAGTTTAACGGAGGGATGTGAATACGGCTGCAGATGATTTACAAATACAATTATTAAATGTTGCAGCACAGTTATATAATAATTAAAATTATTTTAGCTTTCAAGTATTCTGTGATTTTGGTCATGTAACATTTGGGGCTAACCTTGCAACAGATGGCCTTGACCTTATAGCTTGTAGCCGTCGCCATGCTAACAACTTTCATTTTAATTGATGTATATTTATATATATATATATATATATATATATATATATATATATATATATATATATATATATATATATATATATATATATATATATATATATATATATGTATATATGAATATATTTGCTAAATTTGGTCGCCATTAAAAAATTGGAAGTTTATTTCGCGTTTTTGCGGCTTATACACAGTATGTATGAGAGCCATATTATATTAAGTATATATACGAGGGATTGAATAAAAAAATAAATAAAATAAGGTATTTTACAGTTTCCTGATCGTAAATAAACGGGTTTCACAAGCACAATACTTATATTTACAATACTTATATTTACAATAAAAGATTTTTTTCGTACATCGAATGAAGTAAGTATCATTTATCAGATGATTAAAAAAAAACGCAATTGTAGCAAGCATAGACGTGTGAAGACGAAGCATAGACGATTCTACAAATAAAATAAAAAGCGAGGGGTGGCTAGAATGAATTTTTAAAAGTACCAACTTGTTCCTTAAAAAAAAAAAGGTCCTCAAAACTAAAATCTCAAATCATATTTTTGATTCGATTCAATTAGAAATTTCGAAGCTTCGCCGGGCCCTAATATATATATATATATATATATATATATATATATATATATATATATATATATATATATATATATATATATATATATATATATATATATATATATATATATAGCTATATATATATATATATATATATATATATATATATATATATATATATATATATATATATATATATATATATATATATATATATATATATATATATATATATATATATATATATATATATAGCTATATATATATATATATATATATATATATATATATATATATATATATATATATATATATATATATATATATATAGCTACACAGCATAGGACAATTTTGACCTTATTTTCCCTTAGCGCTTTAAATGTTTAACAAAGAAAATGGCCTCGTTTTTTAAATTGTATATAATTAATACGAAATAAAAGATTTTTTTTCAATACTTTTTTTTTTATTGATGATTTAATAGCCTTGATCTAAAAACCTCATGGTTTTCATTTACGTGATTACAAATAAATAAAAACTACAGAGCCTTTGGGACAAGATATGGTGTTTTTTTAAATAAAACTATAATTATTGTTACTTTAGCAAAACCGCATGTTAAAGGATTCCGCGATTTTTTATATGTTTATGATAATCACTGCTATTTTAAAGGTTTTTAGTTAAATAGCATTATGGTATTACAAAATAAAGTGATGCGTATCACAGAAATGTTTAAAATTTAAACTTAGACTTTTTTATAAACCTTAAGAATTTAAAACTTTTTTAGACTTTTTTAAAAACTTTTTTTAGACTTTTTTAGAAGAATTTAAAACTTTTAAAGACGAATGTCAAATTTCGTGTTTATCAGAAAATATTTAATTTAAAAATAAAAATTTTAATTTTAAAAATAAAAATTTAAAACATGAATTAACTAATTTTTTATGCCCTCGATATGTTTACAGACATAGGACTGGTTAGAAGTTGAATGTATAACATACAACTTGTTTAAAAATGTTGTTATTTTACTTTATGTTTTATTCGTATTGCGTCAACATTATTTTTTACCAAAAAATGATACATCAACTATGAAAGCAAAATATTATAACTTGATTTAAATTTTATATTAAAAGACAAAATTTTATAAATAAACTTGAGTAATTTAAAACAAATTTAACTTCATTTAAGTTTATTCATACGAAAAGATTGAAAATAAAAAAAATCTCATTTTTTTATTTTCAATCTTTTTTATTAATTAATAATTAATGCCATCCCTACCGCGGATAGAGTAACTCTATCCGTGGCGAATCTTTTTTTGCAAAATAGACTAAGGGTTATTGGCTATTGGGTTCAATTAGAGCCTATGTTTAGAAGCGCACCAGGTTAACTTCTAAAAAGGGGCTGTCCATTATTTACATCGACAATTTTTTGGCAATTTTTACCTCCCTCCTTTCCCTTGCCAACAACTTGTCAAACTTTCGGTGACCCCCCTATAAAATTACGTCAACATTCGATAACTCCCCCTCAAAAAAAACAAAACAAAAAAACAATTAAGATGGAAAAAAGTTTTAAATTGACTAGTTTAGAACTGAAACAAAAAAGTGGTTTAAAATAAAATGTTTAGAAAAAAAATGTATTCATATTTTAATTCATGAACATATTTCAAATGAATATAAACAGTTCTAAAATCTGAGGAGGATAAAAGAACATTGCAAACTGACATAGATAATCTTGTAGATTGGTCGCATAAATGAAATATGCCTCTCAACTTCAATAAGTGTAAAGTTGGGCGTAGTTACTTTAAATCTACTCAAACTTATTCGATGATTTGAGTGGAAACAGAATTCAACTGGACGTCAGCCTTATCAAGGAAACATCAGCTAAGAAGATCATAAAAGCTATGGGAAAATGTGCAGGTATTATAAATAGTTGCATATAATATATATATATATATATATATATATATATATATATATATATATATATATATATATATATATATATATATATATATATATATATATCATGTTTTATCATTATTTATAGGATCTCGCTAAAAATGAAACAATGGATGTTAAAAGTGTGTGTGAATTTCTTCTAACAAAATGTGAAGGAAAAAATAAAACATTAAAGCTGAAAATACCTTAAAGGAAAAAATAAAACATTAAAGTTGAAAAATATGAGTCAAATTTAGGTCGAATGACTTATACATGACTTATACTCAGCAGAGAAAAATGCTAAAAGCAAACAGTATAGATGTATTCCCAACCCGGAATGAAATTCAATTGTTCCGAAATTCTATTACTTCATTGGCAACACAAACATGATCTGGGAGTACTTCTATCAGACGATCTTAAAGTAAGCTATCAAGTCGAACCAGCAGCAGCAAAAGCCAACAGTAAACTTGGTAGACTTAAGAAAATTTTTAGAAGTCGTGGACACTTTTTGCGAAAAGTATTCTACAAAACATATATAAGACCCTAGTTAGAATTTGCTATCCAGGCTTGGTCACCACACAATGAAAAAGATATTGCTATTCTAGAACAAGTACAGCATAAAGCAACTAAAACAATATTGGAAATAAAGCATTTGTTATATGAAGAAAGACTCTTTCATCTCGACTTAACTACTCTTAAAGAAAGGAGAACTCAAGGTAATCTGATTCAACAGTTTAAAATTTCAAAAGGTATTGATCAAATTATTTTTGATAACCCTCAAGTCTACGCACCATCGATTTACAAATATAATTCACGTGGACATTATCTTCAACTCGAACGCCAAAGGGTAAAAAACTGTCAAGAAATAAAGGGTAAAAAACTGTCAAGAAAATATATAAATGTATTATATAATTGATTTCTGAAATAAATAAACTCAAACTCATATAATCATTTAAAATTACAAATGTTTGCTCTGAACAAAAAGTGAATTAAAGTAAAAGGTATTGAAAAAAATTTAAACTTTCAACTTATAAACATAATTTTAGTTTAAAAATGCAAAGAATTACTCTTAAGAAAAAAAAGATTAAAGGGTTCACAAAAATGTTTACACGTTTAAATAATAAACATGTTTCAAATTAATAAAATTCTCCTCACTTTAAGATTCGACCTAATACAAATTTACAGTGAAAAGCCAATTATTTTTAATAGAGTCTAGATTAACAAAAAAAGCATTTAACAATTTGAATAAACCAGAGGTTGGCAACCTTTTGAGACGGAAGAGCCAAAAGTTACAGTATACAAAGTTTTTCAGTTAAAAAAGAGCTACCAAAATCTTTATTTTAATATTATATTTAGGGATACGAAGTCCCTAAGAGGACTCCAGATTTGAATGTCACAAAAAGATTAATTCTTCCTAGTTTTTGGTATCCAAGAGCTCTAATAATATAAAAACGCTTATGGATTACTATTGGTAAAAAAGACAGACTTTTAAGTTAAAGGAACAATCTCTTTTCGAACCCGGAGTTCTTAGGACTAATGGCGGCTAGGATTCTGGGACTCCGGGCTTAAAAACAATATCTTTCAAGTCATTCAACTTCATGAGTTTTTTTTATTTAGCAGATCATAAATCAATTAACATTTTCAGAGCTTTTGGGCACCAGAGACCAGTAAAAAAAAGAGGTATAAAATCAGAGTCCTTTTGGTACTCCTCATCCCTGATTATACTAATATTTATGCATGTCAAGATAATAAAATCTCGATGTCTAGATGCAGCTAAAGAACTTCATCTTGAAATCAAAGAAATAACAAGAGGCTTGCGAGCTGCAGGTTGTACCCCTTATATAAACGTTTAAACAATGTAATGTAGACAATGTACTTACATGAATCTTTTTTGAATGCACAGCAGACTGAAACAACAATAACTTTGAAAAAATAATAGTGTTACGAGTAAACTTCTTGCGTGTTGTTATTTAGATCTGTATGTCGGGTCTTTTTAAAGCACAAAACGGTTTTTAAAAAATGGGAATATAAATTGTAGGATAGGAATTAATATACTGAAGGTTGATCGACTATGTAACACAGGACTGCAAATGCTGCCTAATTTTCCTTTTTTTAAATAGTTAAACTTATAAAAAAAAGTAACATGTTCAAAAAAAAGAGTGTTGGCGTCAACTTTTCTTGACCTACCACCCTTCCCCTTGACAACAATTGTCAAAAAAATTCAGACCCCCTCCCCCCTATTTTGTTGACGTAATTAATAGACAGCCTCAAACGTTTTTAGAAAAAAAAAAGGAGAGGTTAACCTCTCTTCTTTTTTTATGTTCTAAATTCATAGTCTTCTTTGCAAAAAAAAAAGATACAAATAAGTCTTTCTTAAAAAGTAAATAAAGTTTTCAAATTTTTAACAGGATATCTTGATAAAGCTGAACACTCAATTGGGTTGCAGAGTTACTTAAAAACATTCCAGCGTAACAAGTCAGTTGTAAAAACATCTTTATTATTTGTCTTTATTACCTTTATTATTATTTTCTTGTTAGTACTTTTTTATTTTAAAATCCTCTAGTTTTACATAATAAAAAAAATTAGGTTTGAAACCTTAACATAACCATTACCTTAGCATAAATAGATTAAGAGTTTTTTTTTGGTAACGTTGCAGAAAAGCGACAAAAAATAAATTTATCTTTTTGAGCTTTTTGAGCTCTCTTTCGTAGAGAATTTAAAACATCAACTAAATGAATGAAACTTTAAAGTAGTTAATTAAATTTTCTGTTTGACTTTTATATTATAGCTTTTTTATTACATGTTTTTATTATCAATAGTTTTACTGTTTATAAATAACATCGTTAATAAACTTTATATCATTAAATATGATATATTTTTTAAACCAAGTTTAAACAAAGCATTGACGGCTAAGGCAAGAAATATATGGTAAAAATAGAGGAAATTTTTAAAACTTTGATGATAAATGAACTTATGAAGATAAGATATAAATTGATCCTCTGATGTACCAAACTGTCGTCTCAAATTACAATTAAAAAGCTTTGCTTTTAAAATGTTTGCTTTCAAAATTTTTAAAAAGCAAACTTTAAAAACTTTTAAAAATTAATTCATTTTTGTTCAGAGAAATAAAAACAAGAGACGGGTTTTAAAGTGGAGGCACAATCGTCAATTTTTTAAAAAAGTCCTCTATATCTTGAATTTTCCATTTTTTAAAACAAGGTCCTTTTTTTAAAAAATGGAAATTTTTTTATTTTTTAAGAAAAGTGGGGGAACTCGTGACCCCCCGGTGTCGTCGGCTCTGTTATAATGGAAATTTTTATAGTTATTTTTTACTTGAATTAAACTCTAATCTCAGAATTCTTTAAAGTAAAATAACAAAATTAATTTAGGCCGCTATTCGGCATCATTACCATTTTCTTATTTCTTATCTTTTCTAACTTTTTAGATATTATTAAAATCCTCAAGGGTCCATAGCACCATTTGACTAGGACTATATATTTGATCCAATTCTGATCTATAAAGGAAATATTGCAAAAATCAATGTGCATAAAATAAAGTTATTTTCTAAAGTCTAACAAAGTATTTTGATAGACTAAATTACAGTGGGTGGCCAAATTATTAGTGAAACTTTACTTTTTTTGTGATTTTAAAGTTTCAATTGAACTTTGCGAGCAAATATATTGTTTTTTAATAATTTCTTTTGTGTATTTTAGTTACTGATACCATTATTATTGTTTTTGAATAGTGACAATACTTTCAGTTCACTATGTCTGTCAAAAATTTAGCTAATTATATATATAGCTGTCAATTGTTGAAAAATGTAGTTGGAGTTAGTTCAAAATTGAGTTCAATTTTTCATTTTTGGAACAATTTTTGGCAAATTTTTTGAGTTCAAGACTATCGAAACATAAGTAATTAATTATAATTATTAACCATAACTAATTAGTTATAATAATTAATTAGTTATGGTTAATAATCCATTATTTTTCTTATTTTAATACATAAATCCTATTTTGTAACCATTCTCCCCTCCAATCAATTTTTTTAGTATGGGCAAGTCTTCAGACTCAACCCCAAGAAAATGTGAGGACATAAAAACCTTACTTCTTCATTCTACACATTCTCAGATAAAGATAGCTGCAGTCACAAGTGTTTCAAAGTCAGTAGTGAACCGAATCAAAAGAAAAATTGATACAAATGTGCTCCTGGAACCAGACCGCATTGGCAGAAGTGGTAAAAAAAAGATTACTACTCCACATTGTGACCATAAAATCAAAGACATCTGTCTTGAAAACAGAAATAAAGTGTGGCTCAAATAGCTACAGTGATAAAAAATGAAGGAATCAACATTTCCAAAAGGATGGTTTGGAGTCTGTTGACTGAAGAGAATCTAATTGGTCATTGAAAAACCAGGTTTAACTGAAGCCATTAAAAAAGGGACTGGAATGGGCTGAAAAACACCAGAAAATGGCTATTGAAGACTAAAGTAGAGTAAATATAACTTATAATTTTGTAAAAATCCTAAAAAATTATAGCTTTGTAATGATTTACAGGTCTGCTTCTCTGACAAGTCAACATTTCAAGTCCAATGCCGCCCAGGAAAATTACACCAGGACTAGCTTATGGAAAAGGTTAAACATCCTTGCCAGTGTAATGGTGTAGTCTGTTATCTCAGCCATGGGTTCCCTCTACATTAAGGGAGGGACGGTGAGAAGAAAATCTTATTAGAGAGTGGCATAACAACCCCAGTCTCCAGGACAATGCAAAGTTTGCATAGAAAAAATCACCTCAACAGAGCCATTATTGTAGCAAAGGGTTTGTATTACAAAATATTAGGATTATTACCTTTTTTGTTATTTTAAAACTTTTTATAAAAAAATATGTAGTTATAAAGAAGTATAAAAATATATGTAGTTATTATGTAGTTTTATATTGTAGTATATGTAGTTAATATGTAGTTTTTATAAAAAAATATGTAGTTATAAAGAATTTATATTGTTTTTTATTCTAAATGAAGCCCTCTGATAATAAAAAACAATAAAAAATAGTTGTAAGAGACGTATTTATTCATTTTAGTAGTTTAAATATAAAATTTTGTAAAAAAGTTACGTGTCTATAACGAATTGATCACCCACTGCATATAAAAATTTTCTAAATAAAAGTTAGTTTAATTTAATTTTTTTTCTTAAGGAACTTTAAATACCGTATAACATGGATGACGAATGGGAAGAACAGTATGTTTTTGTTGAGCTAGTTGGATTAGTTGATCCAGAAAAAATAGAAAAATGCACAAAAGAAAATACTGCCATACTTGTAAGTTTTATTTAATACATTTCACCAACCCAAACCCTTAATTTATGTGTGTACATAACCCTACTATTGTGAATTTATTAGCAAATTACTGATATGTTTTGTTCTTTTTTTTTTTAAATGTAGACACTTTACAATTAAAAAAAAAATTTTTTTTTAAACAATGTTTGCCATAAGTTATAACACGCAATTTAAAATTTTTGAATTGTGTAATGAACCTTTTTAAAAAGATATTGAAATGTATATATATATATATAATATATATATATATATATATATATATATATATATATATATATATATATATATATATATATATATATATATATATATATATATATATATATATATATATATATATATATATATATATATATATATATATATATATATAAACAACAAAATTCATTATGTCAAAGCAAAAATTAAAAAAAAAAAAATGTTTAAGGTGTTAAAAAGGATGACTTTGCCATATTTTATGTGCTTTTTCTTTTAAAGAGGAAAGAGAAAATATGTATCGTCATCTGTTTGTAAAATATATTTGTATAATTATAATGTAACAAGTTTATATCAAGAATTAAACTATACGAATGCGATTTGCAAACTCTGTTAAAATATTAGGTCTTTAAAATTTTAGTTCATGCAAAGCTGTGTACTTTGTTTATAAGGAGCATTAGTTTGTATAGCGAGAAAGTTACAAAAAACAAAACAAAAACAATAAACTTATGACTACAAAAGTAAAAACACTTTAGTCACTAACTGCATTATAAAAGTAATAAAACTATAATAGTGTTATTGCATTTATAAAGCACTTATTACTTTTAAAGTTCATTCTTTGTTCAAACAACATTATTAATTCCAAACATTTATTAAAGTAGAAAAGCATCTAGAAAAAATAAAGCGGATATTCAAGTATTATTAAAAATTTCAGGAGCTTTCACATATCACTTAAACAACGTTATAAAAAGTACTTTACAAAAAGTATAGCATTATGAAAAATGTTACGTAAAAACGCGCGTTAATTTTAAAATCAACCAATAAAATTTTTTTATTGGTTAGTTTTAAAATTTTATAGTCCATTAGTTACGTTTTTCATAATGCTAAACTTTTAATACGATACATTTTTGTAAAGTTGTTTGTCGCGTTTTTATAAGTTACTTTTTTAATATTATTTGAACATCGACTTTATTCTTCTAGATATTTTTCTACTTCAATTAAAATTTGGGAATACTAATTTTGCTTGAAAATAGAATGAATTTTAAAAGTTATAAGTGCGTTATAAAAATAATAACACTATTATAGTGTTATTACTTTTGTAATGCAGTTAGTGACTAGAATATTATTACTTTTGTAATCGTAAATTTATTGTTTTATTTTTTCGCTAACAAATTTAAGTTCATTCTCCCCTTAAAAACAAAGAACACCTTTTTGTATAAACTAAAATTTTGAATACTAGATATTTTTCCAGATTTTGCGTTTTGCATTCGTTTAATTCAACCCTTGAATTGTTACATTAAAATTATACAAATAAATTTTACAAACACATTGCAATTTGTATTTTTGCTATCCTCTTAAAAAAAATTACGAAAAGGAAAATCATTCTTATTGTAGACTTCAAACTGTTTTTTTTGCTTCGCCTTATCTAATTTTGTTGCTGAATGTAACTTTGAAGAAACAAAAACAAAAACAGTACACAAATTACTTAAATTATGAATTTGATTTTATTTTTTTCTATTTCAATCTCTTTTTATTTTGTTAGTTATGTTTTTTTGTTTTTGAAACTTTTTCAGCATTATTATAAAACTTGCTAACGGCCGTGTTCACGTTTTCTAAAATATTATAATTGCGTGTGGTCATACGAGACAAAAAACCGCACTTTCCTGGGAAAGCTTGATAAATATATATATATATATATATATATATATATATATATATATATATATATATATATATATATATATGTATATATATATATATATATATATATATATATATATATATATATATATGTATATATATATATATATATATATATATATATATATATATATATATAGTATATATATATATATATATATATATATATATATATATATATATATATATATATATATATATATATACATATATATATATATATATATATATATATATATATATATATATATATATATATATATATATATATATATATATATATATATATATATATATATGTAAGTTATAGCAAAAATATTTTTATCATAATTTAGGCTACCTGAATAAATTAAATTTATTTATTTTAAATATATTTTTACCATTTTATCCTTTTGTGTATTAATGTTACAATAGTTTGCAATACTACATAATACAATAGTATTACAAATAATACAATAATATTCAGTAATTTTCAAAACTCTATACTCTAACTAGAAATATTTGATGACTGCTATTTCTCATTAAAAATATATTAAATATGAGTTGTAGAAATATAATATTTCACTTGAAAATGCTCCCTAGCAATTTATTTTTAGAAAAATAGTTACATGAAATTGACAAATTCTCAACTTCCATGCGTAATTTCTGTGTGTGATTTATCATTAACTGCATTTAAGCAATAGGTATAACTCTATGAAACATAGAGCAATCCTATAACCTTCTGGAAATCTTCATTAATGTATTAAATATTTTTTAAAATAAAAAGTATACTTTTGCTTTTATTTTCCAAGGAATTAAAGTTTATTTGTTTAGTTAAAAGAGTCTGCTTTTATCTGTTTTGCACATGATTCCGCTTCAAACTTAATTTAATTTTTGATAACATAATAATTTATATCTTTTTTTGTTTACAAAATATCTATATTGATTAGAATTAAATGAGAGTAAATTGGATATTTTATTTTTTTATTTTTATGAAAATAATAGAAAAAACATTTATGGGTTTCTGTGCATGATTTTTTGGAAATGCTCTATATGAATATATATATATATATATATATATATATATATATATATATATATATATATATATATATATATATATATATATATATATATATATATATATATATATATATATATATATATATATATATATATATATACCAGCGATTTTATATAATATTTTTTTTATTTATTTATTTTTATTTATTTTCATAAAGCGGTTAATAAGCACAATCACTCGTATTACTAAAAAACTATAACGAACATTTTGAATAGATTTTTAATGTTTACAACTTTTGTAAACATTAAAACAAAAAAGCGATTGTTATTATTTAAGTAATTTTTTTGAGTTACTTTTTACAAATATTTTAATAACTGAATTTTTTTATTGAATCAAGTAGAATACGTTTTAATATTAATCCTTTTATTTTTTTTATTTGCGCTTACCAATTTTTAAAATGTTTCCTCAAAATTACTCTTAAATACTTTAAATACGTCTAACAGTTAATAAATATTTTTAAATCTATGGAATATTTTTAAAACCTAACAAACTCAAGTAAAATAATTATTTTAGTTAAAAATCTAAAACTAAAAGAAAGTATTTTTGTTCAATTTTATCGACATAAAATGTTAGCTTAAAAAGATTTAAATTTTTTTTTAATCTGAATTTTTCTACTTGTAAATAATGAGCATGTTTAATTTTTTTGTAATTCAAACTTTTGTATCAACTGCGTGCAGTTTTTAAAATACTTTATTAAATGTTAAAAGAATCGTAAATTACTTCATTAAAATTCCTCTCAAAAATATCTTCAAATATACTCAAACAAAAAATTTTTTGCTCGACGCAAATAGCCCTAGCTACACGTATAATTCACATCGCCCGACGCTTTACTGCAAGGGCTGTATATATATATATATATATATATATATATATATATATATATATATATATATATATATATATATATATATATATTATGTATGTATATATACATATACATATATATATATTGCAAGGGCTGTATATATATATATATATATATATATATATATATATATATATATATATATATATATATATATATATATATATATATATATATATATATATATATATATATATATTTATATATAGGGCATTTCCTAAAAATAATGCACAGAACTTTGCATCTATTGCATTAATTCTTTTGAAAATAATACAATTTGTAATCACTGACTTACTTTTATTTAATTGACACCTATGTATATATTACCTATACAAAGTATGTTAGCTATGGGTTGCTTTATTATAAAATAAATAATTTTTTTAATGGAGTCACGCATGGAACAAAAAAAGGCTAAAAATAAAAAATTAATAAATGAACCCTTTTTTCTCTGAAAATGTATTAATGACAACTGTTTTGTTTTTTTTATAGGTAATTATACAAGCATTTTTAAAGATTATTACAAAGTTACAGCATTCTACGATGTATCTTTGCTTTGCAATAGTAGTTTAAACCAAAATCACGCACAGACAAAAAAAAAAAAAAAATGAATGGAACATGCAAACATTAGTCATTTTTGGATTGTATATTTGGAAATAAATCGATTGCGACAATCATAAATAGTATATATATCAATACTAATTAATTAAATACATGTTTGATTAAAAAAAAAAAAACTTAAGTGTATTATGTTAAAGGTAAATAATGTATTATATAATTAATAATATATTAAAGATAAGAAAGGTGCAATATCAAATTTTTAACAATAACTTTAGTTGTAACACCTCGGCTCAATAATAATATGTCCACGGTTATCAAAGTGTGGTTGCAGAATTAACGGTTTTAACTCACACAAGTCATGCCAGAAGAGGTCAACTACAGATGGGTATATAAAAATGAATTCGTTTTGTTCTTTTAGGAATTTAATATGTGCCATATTATCTTAAATTTCTAATACTTTGGCAAGGTATGTTTTTGCTCTACCAGCAGACCACAATTCTACAAAGACAAATATACCTGGAAAAATAGTATTAAATTTGTACCTTTCAGATGGAGATGATACCACGTTTATCAATAATGAAGATAATGAGTTCTTAACAA